ATAGATGGCTTTGGGCCAGTCTCAGCCCAACCCAACTGTCATCTGGGAAAATGGACAGACAGACCATTACACACACTGCCTTAACTTGTACAAAATAAAGGTGGGATATAAATCTAATAAATACATGAATATTTCTGTATGGATCTTTCATATTATTTTCACTGCCTTATAGGATAAAACCACAATAACCATAGAAAAGTGGCACACAATATACTGCTGCACCCACCTCTCCTTTAATATATCAAAATTAGGTACTTCATTATACTATTGGTAATAAGCTGCAATACGAAACCATAATTTCTTAAAGTAGTGAGACTTACTTATGAGTAAACATACATATGCTTATGCTGTTGATCACATTGCTGCATTTACTCATGACTGTTAAATTTCACCTTAAAGGCTGGTTTCTAAACATTGCAAATTTAGCAGCATTTTAGAAGAGTTATTATATATTAGCTGGTAAAAACAAAGAAGCCAACTGTGAATTGTAAGCTAACAGCCAGAAGTATTTAAGACAGAGATATCAGTTATGTCCATAACTAAGAATGGTTCTGCTTCAATCCTGGAAGCCTGCCACTAACAGAATAAGCCAAATCTATGTATCCAGAAAGCATCTGCTTCAATAAATTGCCATGTAAAAAACAGCAGGTTAATCTATGAAATATTAGTCTGGTCTGTATTGGTTCCTTGTTATAGTGCAAAAGGTCCCCCCCTCTAAATAAGCTACAGGTGTTCCTAGTAACCAGATATCTGAGGAATGTAGAAAGAATTAATCAAGCCATAAGAATTAACACAGTCAGACAATGTCTTCATTGCTGACTAGCAAAGTGGACAGGAGGTTAATTTTTTCAATTTTTAAAATGAATGGAGTTTGTGTAAATGCTCAAGCTCTCAAAAATGGCTTTCCAGAAACTAGTTTCCTTATGAAACTGGGGATTACCCGGCCCCTAGCAGTTATTTTTTTGTAAGTCTGAATCAAACAATCTACTGTGCACAGTAAATCACAGTATATAACAGTGTTTCAAGAAGCAATTTTGAAGAAAAATGCTGATTTGCCAGCACTTTGACTGAAAAAAAAGTTTTCAGAAGTTTAGTGAAAACTGAGGTTTTTAAGTGCAATCCTAACCATAGAGCAAATTTCTCGGAGTAGTTGTGAGCAATAATCTTTAGCACAGTTTTATTTAAACCCTAATCTTATCAGTAAACTGAATCACAGATAATTTTGAACCAGTCATACTTTTTCTCAGCCTATCCAAAGTCGGTAGTTGTATTTTAATATGTGTTCAATTTATATTAAGCCAAGCCAATTTTGGGATATGTCACTTGGTATGTCATTCAACAAGTGTAGTCCGTCTGTCCCCAAAAAATGTTGTGAATGCCTATATTGAAGAAAAACAATAGTAAATATCTTAATTTATCCGTGGCATATCAAAACCTTTTTTGACATACACTTTTCTAGATTTATTTCTAGAATAAGCTCAAGTAATTTATTCCTGTATATTTATATACAGTAGTGTAAAATTATGAAAAAGGACATTTTAATGTGACTGACAAGGTAAGAACAAGAATCCTGAAATGCTAATTTGTGTGTGAAAAAAGAGATGGATACTGAACGACATACCTTGTGGTTTTGCTACATCACTCATTGAAGAACCCGTTTTCTTTTGCAATTGTTTGTGCCCAAATCTTAATTTTGTTTAGAATAAGAAATACAAGCCCAGAGTTATCATCATTCGAGTCTCATTTCTGCTACATATTACTGATGCTCAAATATCTAGCTAGTTCTACCTAAATATCATCTATCAGAGAAGGATAAACATCAGATAGTTAACAGTATTAGGCATGAAGATTACTTGTTAGGTATAACAGTAGTAGCTGAATAATTCTTTTTTTCAGTGTTTTGGTTAATTACCCTGTAATATGACTTTTTGGGAAAGAGAGTAGCAGCAAGCACAACAGCTGTGCTACTTTCTCCCACGCTGACCTTCTGTCAAAGCTTTGTCACTTATCCTTCCGCCCATCATACTATGCCTCTCTAACAAGATTCTAACAAGCAACACAAACTAAGTTTGCATAATTCCACTACTATACGTATTTTAAGCAAAGTAAATACCTGACATGGTCTATGTTCAGGTTTTCTTTGTTCATAAATTGCAATCATTCTGCAAATCTCTACTAAATTCTCTTAATTGGTGATCTCCAGTTTGTTTTTAAAAAGGATAAAATAGAAACTGCATTTCCAGTTGCAAAAACCAGTCTCAAAAGCCGAAAAGAGAAAAAAAAATGTAATGTTAAAGAAAATCAATTACAACAGAAAATGAAAGCAGCAATTATAGTCATTATCATTTACTACCCTATATTGCTTGGGGTTAAAATTACATGCCATTACTGGTACATAGCACCCAGATAGATGGCGCTATGGCCAACTTTGCTTGATCTTGAAAGTTGAAGAAGGTCAGAGTACTAAAATGGGAGACCACAGGATATTTTAGGGCATGAGGCAAAATAAGGAAATTGAAAAATAATACTCTATAAGCCTTATAGAGTATTATTTTTCAATTTCAATATAATGCAATGGTAACTAATTTCATACTTTTACCAAGAAAACTGTATCAGCATGTCCATTACTTGATCATTCTAATGAAATGTTCATTAGAATTAGAATATTCTTTATTAGCCAAGTGTGATAGGAATCTGTCACGATTTGTCTCCATTTATGTTACTAATGGAAACACTACAAAGTCAACATGAATTAGTGTATCTCCCTACCACAATGTATGAAAGCTTTAGATTGGTTGATTAGCTGACTCACATGGACGTATCTTGTGCCAGTGTGGTACCACTGCTAGAAACATTGGGGTTTGATCAGAGGTGACCATAAAAATGGTCCCACTCATGTAAACAGCACTGTATGCTTAGTTAAGAGTTTAGTTCTGGAGAAAGGCTTTCAATATGCCATGTGAAATTCCCGAATTAGAAAGGGCCCAACGGTTACTTGGTGCAGGAAGGCCACAACTTCCTCAACAGTTCAGTGTAATTCTTTTATCAAGCACCAGCCTTCCTGCAACACAACAATTGCCGACAACTAAATTCCTTCAGGCATTTGAAAATAAATTCTGCACATATGAAGAGAAGCAGCAACTGTGTGGGTATCTCTGCAGGCATGTCCACTAGTTCCACACATATCAATCTCACATTTATTGAAGACAATGATTATGTGTACTGAAGAATGTTTTCTATCTGTGGCCCCTCTCAGTGTGATTTTAAGCTCTGGAAATCTCACAACTGTTTACTGCACTTAAAGCTGACCTTAAGACATGCCACAGGAACAAAGGCTACATGAACAAAAGTGTTCGACTGCACCAATGGAATTTCATGAAAATATATGTAAGATTCACTTGTGATCATTTCAGTTGAAACTGGTTTGGCCTGAATGGACATTTTTTTTAATTGGATTTGAATCCATTTTATTTTTGAATCATGCATACATACTGTATGTCTACTGATATTACATATTTTATTCTGCTTAACCTATATAACACAGCATACTGAACAAAATAAACCTTCAGAGCCATTCCAGATAAAGGATAAATTATATTTTATTACCAATGATAGCATCATGGCAAAATATCCACTCCAGAGATTCCATTCTTGCATAGCATGTAAACTTATTTTTAAAAATAATCATGATATATGCAATATAAAGCTATTATCTAACCAAAAACATAAGCCCAACCGAATTTAGAGCTATGTTCTCTGGAACTGTTTGAGGGGCTCATAAGTTTGGGGGTTTTTTTCACTGTTGTTTCTGAAGGCCCTTCTGCAGAAGGGAAGACCTGACACCTGATGAAGTCAAGGATCAGGGAATCAGAAACATTTGAGTATAATTTAATCCTTTTTTGTGTCCTCTTCTCCCTAATTTTCCTCTCCACAATAGTGAGCAGAGCTTTAGATATGTATGTTTGAATAATCAGTATGGATTCTCCAGCCTGCACCGAGAATTGATGTGCTGATGCTATGTTTTAATCCCTTTCTCTAAAATTTGTGGGCCTTTAAAGTTCTTAATTTTTGATATATCATGTCCCATCATTAAATCAGCACAACAGTCTAAGACCACCAGTCAATAACAAACAAAGTTCAAACCACACAAATTTGTGGTTACAGTTAATGTGAACATGGGACTATCTTTTCTTTAGTAAGCCATGAGAGAAGGGCTTTTTAAAGAGATGACCTCTATGTATCCCATAGTAAGTATACAACTTTTATTTATTTATTTATTTTTAAATCATTTTTGTTGAATTTTCCCTAAAACATTGGACTTAGAATAATTTGCTTTTGTTATTAGATCTATACATTTCAAAAGATATGTTAATATATGTATTAGTTAACATGCATACACAATCATAATGGATAGTCTATTACATTTTTAACAAGGCATTTATTGTTCATATCTTCTCAAGTATCAACATTTGACAGGAGTTGGATTGATTTTACATTTTGTTCAAATAGTTAACAAGGGGATTTTCCCCCCAGAATTGCAATAATTCATACCTAATTATATGAAATTAGGTATGCATAGGTGATTTAAATACACGAGCTTAGATGCATGTAACTTAACCATAGATGGATCATCAGGTTGATGATCTAGGTACAGTTATTAGGCAATAAATACACTGAAGTCAGTGGGATTTGCTCTAGAGACAAGATGCACAGGATCAAAACCTTAAAATATAATGCTCAAAATCATTTCTATTTTTGAGCTATGCAAGTTCTCTATTGCGGGTGCATGGTAGAGGTATGTACATCTTGTATGCACCTGTGTATGTGTGATGTCTATTACACACACAGACACACACAAACGTCTTTACTTAATTTAAAATAAAATCCAAGAAGGCAAATGAGCAAAAAGAAAAAGAACTGAAAAAAGGGAAAGTCAAGAAAAAAAGCAAGATAAAAGAGCAAAAACAAAAATGAAAGAAAAAGAAAAGAATAGAAAAAGAATGACTTCCAACTTTCTTTGGTACAGGGATAGATAAAATACATAAAACTCTTAAGTTCATAATAATATACATTATTTCTATAATCCCATACCATTCTACTCATCAAATCTCAAATTCAAAATTCCAGCAGCTGATGTTGATCACTAAGAACTGTAAGTTAAACTTCTGATTAACATGTAAGAGCAGACGAAGCTGTTCCTTACTATTAATTAATCTCAAAGCCAAAAAATAACATAAAATTCAAAACTATTATTTTATTACCTTTTTTTGTGGTGGTCTGTATAAACAAACCCATTTTTCACTATGGGTCATTTTATGCCAGAAACCTGAAGTTACTACCAGTTCCCAGGGGGGAAAAAGTTGTAAATTTACAGTCATGTGACTGCAGGATGTTGTAACTAAAGACCATTTGCAAAGTGCCCAAACTGAAGTCACGTGACTGTGGGGGAGGGCTTAGATGAACTGTTGGCCTGAGCTCTCAGCTTGGCAATTTGGTTACAAATGTTTCATCACCATTTAAGGAGACATCATCAGTGCACTTTGAATTGACAATCCACTGACGATGTCTGCTCGAATAGTGAGGAAACGTTTGCAACCAAATTGCCAAACTCAGACCTCCAACCAACAGCCCAACTACCAACCTGAGCTACTTACACTCAAATGCATTCCAACAAGGGCTTAGATGTCAGAATGTCAAACTTCTAAATCCCATTTTTAGGGGTCTGTTGTAACTTTGGAAAGTCACTAATGACTGTTGTAAGTTAAGGATTATTTGGAAATTCCATAAATATGGCCTGTTTAAAACTTTATACAGAGCATGTCTCAAAAAGAATTAGCAATATGAATGTAAGAATTCAACACAGGTGTGTGTGTGTGGGTGTGTGGGTGTACACAAATGTACATACGTACATACAACAGCTCAAAATCGACCCCCAAGGCACATATACCCTTAGGATGATTTACTTGAAGATACACTGATTCCTTCTCCATCCGTATAACCCCCTTTGTGTACAACGCTGCTTTTTTTATTCAAACCAATGCAAGCTGATCATTTCCACAGATTCACTGTGATCCCAGGAGATGTTAAAACGAGAAGAGTAAACAATATCTATTCATAAGTGGTAGTGAAGGGAATCTGACCCTGTCATCATCCTCCCACATGAGGATTTTTAAAGAGCGCCATCAGTTCTGAATTTAAACAGAGTTGAGAAACAATACAAAGTTGATTACAAACTTTGTAAAGGCATGTTGATTTGTATAATTGCAGTTTTCCAAATAATCTGAGTACGACTCAAGTAGCCCACCGGGATGTACTTTGGCTCTAATGATAATTGAAGTACTAATTACAGGACTGTTTTTGCTTATTCACTCTTAATATAGTGTGTAACAAGATATACTGTTCAGAGACATAGCTCATGGCAATACTACAAATCACCCCATCCTTCAAAATGCTTGTTTCTTAGTACAAACAGTTTACAAATACTTGTGGAGAGTAACTGGCTTTGCAATAACATCTATGTAATTGACCCTCTCTTGTTCTGGGTGGTAGTATCTAAACAGCTATCAGGGATCCACGTTGAGGATTCAAATCAGGAGTGCTCATTAAGATACAAATCTTAATATTTGAATGCTAACTTTAAAAATGTTAACTTTCACTTACTAAATAAAAGGATAAGGAGTAGGCTTCCTGGGAACCAAGATGTAAACAACTCAACTCTTAATAACTCTTAAAATCTCAGCCACTGAAATCTGAAAGCCACTTGATGGCTGCTCCTAACTTTATAGCCATGGTTGCACACAAAACATTAAATGGAAATTCAAGCTTAGCAACAACACAAACACAAAAATGAAAATAAATAAATATGATGCCACACATCAAAATTAGAAGGCAACGTTTAAGAAAACAAACTTTTGAAAACTTCAGCTCAGTCCCGAGTGTTAAAATACTAAACAGAAATTAAAAATAAGTGATAAACAAAGCAGAAATCCTAAACTGAATAGGATGCTATTCCCAAGAGCTGATAAGATGATTTGTGTGGTATCAAGGAACATAGACATCTGAAGGGATGGCAAGAGGCAGCAAGTGATGAGATGCATGCCATGATGGTTTTGTGCAAATTATTATTATTTTATTCTATTTATTTGTATTAGTGTTTATATCATCCTATTTTCCAAGGACTTGGGAGGATTTAAAGTACAGAGTCATACAAATATAGTAATCACGAACTGTACAATCTTGGTAATACCTTTTGTCCACATATAAATATGTTTTGTATCTTTTTTTCTTTTCTCATTGCTTGCTTGTTCTTTTAAAAAATACTAAATAAAAATTTAAGAATACAGAATAGAAAACAAAACAATCAGGTGCTTGCATTATGATGTGATTCATAACATAATTACATAATCATGTTTTTTGTAAGATGACATTATGATGCATGTGTCATTATTACAACACCACTGTGGTTTAAACCAATGCCTTTTCCAAGGAATACAATTTTAACATTCTAGTGTTATTTTAAAGTCTAATGATTCAATTTAAAGATTTAAACTTACATTTTAAAAATAATAACTTGCTCTGTGAGATGAGTAGTCTCCAAATTTGATTAAGTTTGATATCAATAATACAAGAAGACCTGAGACATAGTCAGAGTAAATATGCAGGATACGATTACAAGCACGAAACATGAGGTAAAGACAAGAAAGATTATTAAATTATTAAATTAATAAATTAATAACCTAATTTATAGTTATAATCTCATAAATGATAAAATAAAATTTTAAAACAAAATTCCATTTATTAAAATGGAGGCAAGCCTTTCCCCCCCAACTTTCATGATTTATATGCTGACTTTCTGCTTCTTTATGATGTACAGTATATGTTTCATAGTTTCCCCAGGAGATGAACAATATATTCTGAATGGTATATCAATGGAGAAAACTGCAAACATAGGTGCTCTAGGTCACTTCTATTCAGCATGACTATTAATGATTAATAATAATAATATAAATGACCTTAGATGCCATTATGTATATCTAAATCTATGGAAAGCTATATTGCTACAAGATGATGATAGCACTGTGTGGTTTTTAAGCTTATTATAATAAATTCTTTTGAACAAGTTATGCCTTTTATTACTGCAAAGTTTGATTAAATAAATATGCTTATTAAATAACTAAATATAATGCTATTAATTCCTAACAATAAACTTCAGTCCATCCAATGATTCCTTGGTCACCATGCTTTGAAATTAACTAGCATTTTTCAAAATGTATAAGCTTTCTCCTTAATATATGAATGCTATTCTATGACTGGCTGATGCAATAATTAACAATAAATGTTGACTTGATGCTATGATAGCCATGAATACTATTATAGGAATCAAAATATTATTTTACTTTATTTTGTACCAATGTTTCAGAACATTATCCTATCATTTTATAAAGGGTTTTAGCTTTATTGAATCCATGTATTGGGTTTTATTTCTATCCATATATGTTCTCATATGTAGTCATCCCTCTCTCCACTTATTAGGCTATGAGAGAACATTGAACTTTTGGCTTTTTTCACAATTACTTCTACATAATTAAGTTTTTTTTAAAAAAAAAAATAGGAATGGTTCCCAATCTGCAATTTAAACAATAAAAAAGCACAAAATTTATAGGAGCCAAAAGAGGGCAATGGCAGTTAACAGTGCCAAATCAACATCTGTGAAGGCTCTGAATCACATTAGGATCTCACTTAAAACTCACTTAAAAGCTTTTCCTTTTTTCCCCAAGAAATACTCTGCATTTATATATTAAAAGAGCCAAGAAATAACTAATCTTGGGACACTTCCATAACAAGCAACCTTTTTCCACTTTACAATATCTCATAACCAACTTTGAAGCCAAATTTTCAATTATCTTCACTTCTGCCAGCTTCAAAATACTGAGAACAGATAGGCCACAAGTAGCCAGTTATTATTATTATTACTATTTGCATCTCTAGCCATTTTTGCAGGAACCTGGGGTTTTATTTTATTTTGTTTTTTGTTTGGCATATCTAACCATTTGTCCTCCCCAAAAAAGTTGTTACAGGTCGAAATTACCATAGTTTTTTTTCTATTTAAAATATATCCTCTTCTGGTGATCTTCAAAGGATAGCATGGTGGCATTTCCCACAGGACACTTTTTTCAATAGTTCAAAACATCACTGCAGGCTGGACTATAACTTGGGGGAGCGTGGGGAGGGGGGAATGAGATTAAGAACCTGAAGAGGCAAAAGTTCAATGAGTTCACTTTTCTCAAAAGAAAACATGAAGCCAGCAGAGTTTTCTATTATTGTTGTTATTTTACAGGGAGTATGAAACTGACTAGAAGGATTAGAACTGCCTGGCTTTCTAATACATTTACCTGCATTTTTTCCCTACCTTAATTATGAAAAAGCAGACGTTGACCAAGGGTTAGCCACTTTAGAGAAGCAAGGTGAAACAAGACCAAAGCCAGAAGAAAAAGAGACCCAAGCTGTGTAAAACTTTGCCCTGGTTTCATGAAAATTGCAGAATCCAGAAAATATTGACTCATAAATATTGACCAATGGTGTGTGAATGGGGGATCCTGTATCTTTTCTTATAAGAATACGGTATGCAACCCAGAGCTCCTTGGAAATGTTCTAAGATCCCAGACTGCACACACTAGATGGCAGCACCGTGTTAGTTCTCTTTCCTGCAGCCATCTGATTGTTATCTATGGAGATATCTCAATCATCGGGTCATGGGGAAAAAAGGAAGGAAGATCAGCATTGCTGCATGGAAGCTAAAATATCTAGCCATTAATACATAAATATGTAGAAGACAAAAAAGACTGAACCACACTATAAAATCACAGGTGAGGCACATTAATGGCAAAATAATTTGGAATTCAAAAATGCAGAATTTTCCTTACTGTAAATCTACTCCTGATATAATATTACACAAAGTCATTACCTGCACCTCTGCTACTATTCTGGCTGTAGCAGCCACCTCTGCTACTTTAATTTCAGAATGCTCTGAATAACACTAAGTGATCAGAGAACAAAGGTTAAATCTACCAGGAGTCTTTCTTGCACAGACAGCTTTGGGGAAACAAAAGAGATTTGTGCGCAAGAAGACCCGAGTGTTCCAATGACAAGCCAAACTGTCCCATCTTCAAGACTCAGGAACATCAATTTTCTTCTCCAATTTCCATGGAATTTAAGAACTTTTCATGGTCATGTTGATGCTTTAGAAAAAGAAAAGGAAGAGTCAGTACAATGGATTGTTATTGCATATGTATGCAGGACTTCCTCTAAGGAGCAAAGAGCAGAACACACATATAACTAGCCCTAGTAATATCCTATCTGGTTACTGCCCAGACTCAGACATTACACGTGATAAAAGCTGAACTATCTCAAACATCACTTGAATTTTTATTCTTTCAATATAAAGGACCTGGAAAAAAATCCACCATGTCAGATCACACAAGATGAACAGACACAATAGGAGAAAGATGGTTCCATAAATAATCCCTGTCATTAGAGTTTATAGATGGCCACTAGCCCTTTAAATTGTAGCAGAAATGTACTGGGAGGTAGGGCAGATTGTTAAGTCAGAGGTCCCCAACTCCTCATATAATCAACAAGATTGTATCTCAGCCAGTTCCAGAGGACCTGCTAGCCAGAGTGTAATTCAAACAGTTCCAAGTGATCATTTTCCAATAGATGCCTGAAAAATCCTTACAGAAAGTGTTTTCCCAGGGCCCAGCTTACACTAGGCACACCTAGAAACTATCAATCAAATCTGAGACTATAGTTTGTAATTCTAACAAGAATCCCATCACTTTTATTTCTCCTCCATAAAAGCTGACTATATGCTCAGCACAACATGATGTAAGAATCTTCCTGTTTCTGAACTACAAAATCTTTTGAAACTTCAGTGTTCGTTTGTAACACAATACCTGTCCCACCCCATTCCCCATTTGCATTATATTATACAGAGACATGGAATTACACACTGTAGAGCAAACATTCATGAAAAAGCTTTCTTCCTCTAGTAGTAGTTACCATTATTGCACTTTTTATTAATGGATTAGTCCAAAGTCTAATGCCATGCAATACCATAACTGATAAAAATTATTACCAATAGTCAACACACTTTGATCCTCTTTTATTTGAAAGTACCATTTTCAACTCAATAAAAGAAAAACAACTTTGTCAAAAAAGATTATTGTTATAGAAGGATATTCTATAATTATAGTCTTTTAAGATTCTAACATTTATAGGTCTAATCAAGCTATTAATAATGGTATTGTCATAATTAACTTTCATGACCAACCAACTCTGGACGTGATCCTTGATACCTTTTAGTTCCTTTACAAAACTGGGCTGAATACAAATTTTAACAATAGGACCTAATGAGTCATCTGAAGTCTAATTAAAAATAAGTACAGTCCAATCTAATGTTTCTTTTTCAGCTTGCAGAATAATAAATAACTACTACCAGACTCATCCATTTATTGCTTTCTTTAATGGTTAAACACTAATGTATATTTCTTCTAACATCATATAGATTTCATAAACTATAAAATGATATGCAACACATGCAGAATACTTCTCCTTTTTTATAAAGAGATTTATGTACAGTAGTCCTCAACTTAAAATCTTAGTTTAGCACCTGTTCAAAGTTATAACGGCACTGAAAAAAACCCTATGAACAATCCTAACATATGCTACCATTACAACTCCCCGCTCCCACTATGATGACATAATCAAGTTCAGGTGCTTGGAAACCCCCCCCCCCCCAATGTATTTAGCACCGTTGCTGTATCCTAGGGTCATTTGTGACTTTCCCAGCTGGCTTCTGACAAGCAAAGTTGATGTGGGGGAAGCCAGATTCTCTTAACAACTGCACGATTCACTTAACAGTTGCAGTAATTTGCTTAACAACTGTGGCAGCACAGGTTATTAATTAAGGGCAAATCACTTAAAAGCTGCCTTGCTTAGCAATGGGATCTCACAATAGTGGTCCTAAGTTGAAGACTACCTGTACTATTTGTTATTCAAACCACAAAGGCAAATGAAAATGCAACTCTATGAAAGATTTTACAGTAAATATAAAAAGGTGACAGGACAAACAAAAAAGAAGGCTGGGTAGACTCCAGAAAGATATAGTAAGAAAAGGTTATTCCACTAAAGCAAAGTTGCAAATTGTACCTATTGTCTTAAATTAATTAAATAAATAAATAAATAAGATGAAAGCATTAACACATACTTTAGTAGCTTAATAATAGAGTCATGTGTTACATGTTTATAATAAAACTGGTAGCAATTTTTATCTATATTTTATCTTTGTTAAAAATTTAACTTTTATCTAAACTAAAGATAAAAGGCCCTTGTAAATATTTGGATCTCAAAGAGACTACCTGGAGTTTACCCAGTTCTACAATATCTCTTGCATAATGTTATTATGAATAATACTCATAGATAATGGCTTGTTTATGAAATTCTTACTCCTGTTTGACTGACGTTATTTCAGGCTCATTTGAAAGACAGCTTGCTCTGAAGGCAAGGGAAAATGAAACTTAATAAATACATTCTTGCTTGTTAGAGACAGATATTTATAAATATATATTTACTTTAAAAGCAGAAAAAATGCATTTTCACAAGCAAATTTTATCATATATATTATGATGGCTTCATAAGTTATCAATGTTCATTAAAAATGTCTCCCCAACAGTCATCAGAAATGCTTGCCACAAAAATGTTAGGTTGTAGAGCAGTGTTGGCGAAACGGGAGCATGCGCACATGCACCAGAAACCGGAAGAGCAGCTGCCCCGCGCACACATGCGCGCTGGGTGGCTGTTCTTCTGGTTTCTGGCACTCCCACGCATGTGAAAACCAGCTGGCTGGTGCGCTGGAACCCGGAAGAGCAATGGGCAACGGCTTGCGTGCCTGGAGAGATGGCTCTGCATGTCACTTCCAGCATGCGTGCCATAGGTTTGCCATCACGGTTGTAGAGTGTTATGAGACTTTTTTTTTTTTTTTTTGCTATTATAGAAGCAGACTAATTGGAATATTAGAGTCAATTGCTCTAAGAAGTTTAAAAAATAATGCATTTTAAGAATGTATAGTTGAAATGCTACTCCTATGAAAATGACCTTAAATAATCCTGAATGTACTTATAGAGACTTCTACTTGCCTAAGCATAGATAGGATGGGGCTATAACACAGTCATATTCATCCTTAATACTGACTGGAAAATGTATCATGTGTATATTAAACTTTATTTTCTATAATTCAGTGAGATGTTGCACTGATATCACCCATTATTACCAAATATAGCATTGGATATATGCTATAAGGCACAAAGCTTTAACCAGAGCAGTATGAGATGATAGTCATGACATATTTCCAACTGCTCTGAACCGCTTTGTTGATGCAATCTATCAAAATCTTGCTTGTGGTCATTATCAAGTGTACTAGGATTGCAAGCAGATAGGCCGCTTACTAAAATTACTTTTGGGCATCGTTCAAAATAGATGCATCTTCACAACAGTATATTGGAGTTGAACTTCATAGCAGTAGCATTTTCAAGCTTTCTGAAATGGCTACTTCGATCCATAAAGTTACCACTATAATCACATAATAAGGTAATAACATATGCAGTTTTCAGCGTGCTGTAAAGCTCATGCAATTGACATGGATACAGCCAGTCAACAAAAGATTATTTAGGCTTGCAATGACTCAGTAGTGATTCTTTCTGTCAGTCAACCCACATTTTAATAAATTCTATTCAGTAGATTTTAGTGGATGCAATGAAGAAAATCTGGACTTTTGATAACAAGAAACTTTGCCCCAAGTAACAGACAGTGTTATGAATGACACAACAGTTGTACATTTTGAACATTATGTTAATGTAATGTACATGGGCATATATTTTATAATTTTATAAGATATAGATTATATGTGTTTTATATATGAAAAATTCAGCATTTAATGAACATTTGAGTCAAAAACATATCCCCCATCAGTCCATTAAACTGAGGGTTCTGTGTAACGTTATGCCACTCTATCTTTTTAAAAATCAATCTTCATCATAATGTAAAATCCTGGGCATGAGTAGAACTGTAGTCTCTAAAAATATTATCTATTTTGTTAAAGGAACCTAGACTAATTTGGAATACATCAATGGAACCATTTTATCATCCAATTTGCCAAATGTCATATCCAACTGTAGCCTAGCCAATGAATAGGTAATAACTTTCACCTGAAGAAAAAATGATTAAAATTACTGTTTTAAAGAAAAATTATAAAGCTAATAGAAAACACATTCATTTAAGAAATAAATTTGCCCATATACTCTGGAATCTCTTTTCAAGTAAATGTCTTTGAAAATATTTGCATTTTCATTTGTAACAAAGATACAGTGGATTTATGGATTTTGGTGACATAAAAGCAGTAAGTGGATGCATAAAGACAACTTGTTTGTTTTTAATTCACTTGTAAGATTCCTTCTTTACCCTCAACTATCTGTATTAGGGCAACTTATCCAGTCTTAATATCTCCAGGTTATTGAAAAGTTACTGTTATTGAAAATTAGCAGCCACTGAAAGTGGAATTAGAAAATACAAAGCCTTAAGGATTACCAATTGTGCACCATGTCCTAAAAATAACATTTTACCTAGCAGTTATAATTAGACTGAACTAGGATGCTGCTGAAGTACAATTCCCAGGATCCCCCAGGCCACTCTGCAGAAGTGCCACTGAGAATAGTGAATATTACTCCTACGTAATATTATGTAGCAGTAACATTCATTTTTTCTTAATGTCACTTCTGTGTAGTCCTGCATATGATTAACATGAAATTTCTTAATAGTTAATCCTTTTTAAGAATGAAAAAGGAATATAGTTTATTATCAGAATTTTGTCTTACTTTGCTGATGCCTCCCTGAGCTCTTCATCCAGTCTGCGTAAGTAAAGGTTATTGGTGAAGGAGAAGAAGCAAGCAGAACATAAAATAGAAGCAGGGAAAAGCAGAAAAGTCAATCAAGCAATGAACATGCATTTGAAATTATGCACCAACAAAATGTTTTTTTTCTAATGTGTTACTGATTTTGATTTCTTTTGTGTGTGTTTGTGTGTGTTTGTGTGTGTGTGTGTGTGTGTGTGTAGCCCATGTGTAGGCAGGTCTTGTAAAACTAGCAGGAGTTTGCAGCATGCATGCTGTGCAAAGCTGACAAAGTGATTGAAGTTAAATCCGGAACAGGCCAAATTAAGGAAATTTATAACTGATCTCAATAGCTCATGCGTGACATTCATTACAGAGAGATATGGGGCCTTTTTAAATGTCAGCTGCTGAAATCCTCTACTGCCTCAGATATCCTCAGTTATTTAAAAACATCAACACAGGCTGCAGCAGAGCAAGGGTTTTACCTTACTCTTCTCTGAATGGATCGCTCTTCATCATACCTTTCAAGATAAAAGTGGGTGAAGGACAAACATATTCAAGGTCAAATAATATGCAGACATCATATTTGTGCCAAATGTATCACCTTCACGTCACAAGCAACTATTCTCAATGTCAAGTTGAAGTGTAGAGTCAGCACTGAGGCTCTTATATATGCATCTCGTTGCCAATGCAAATTTAAACTACAATGTCTGTTTTATTATGCATAGTATATTCCTTTGGACCTTATTCAATGGGTTCCAGACTCGCTTTGATATTAGTGGGCTGGCATGTTCACACCAAGACCTATTATACACACTGGGAGAACTGGTAAAATCATGAAAAGTTCTGGATTTTCCCCATCTTGGCAATGTCCAACTATATTGAATTAATATCCTATCATCCTTAGCAATTCCGATAGGAGAATAATTTATAAAGAATACAGTACCCAAACCAGAAACAGTGATGCTTCCCCAAAACATCAGTGCTCAGAACATGAACACTTTGAGAATTTTATCTTCACTTTCTGTGAATAAAATATACTCCCATTCTACAATGTCTCATGCAATTCCACAAATATTTTGAGAACTATTAATTTTTTTACTACAAAGAAATGGCACGAATAAATTAGTGAGACAGTAACACATTGGAATTGATTCTTGGATCTTTCACAGAATCACAGAGTTGACAGATACCAAAGAGGCCACCTAATGTGGCTTAATGCAGGATCTACAACAACATCCTGATAAACAATTAGTCAGTCTCTGTTTGGAGACTTCCAGCAAAAGAGGAGTGGTGGGTTGTAGGCGGTACACCCCGGTACGGGGGTATATGTGTCTGCCCAGAGCACCAGGTACCGTTCCAGTACGGTGCTCCGGAGGCCCCCCCCCCCGAGTTTTTTACTTTTTACTTTTATTTGAGCTCTTCAGCACTTCTGCACACGTGCACAGAGCACACAGCGCCTGCGCGACGCTCCACCGAGCAGCTGGAGTGTCGCGGAGGCTCGCAGGGGCATCGCAAGAAGTAAGCACACATACATGCGCTGTGCGCATGTGTGGCGCGCTGCACACGTTCATGTAGTGGATGCCGGGCCCTGCTGCAACCATACCGGTTCTGAAGGATCCGGAACCCACCACTGAAGAGAACTTATCACTTTGTGTGGCAACCTGTTCCCTGGTTATCAATTGATGCTGTGATGAGTTTCTCCCAACTTCTAGCCTGAGTTTTCTTCCTAATAGTTTTAACTAATTGATCCCACCTAGTAATGGTATCCTATTTTCTTCACTACTGGTTTGGTAGGAGGAGTGCACGTGCATCCACAGAAGGTCCTTGATGACATCTGGGTGGGTGGACAGAGCCTCACACCACCGCCACTACCGATTCGCCCGAACAGGTGCGAACCAGCAGCATACCACCTATGGTTCCATCTCTTCTTTTTGAGGTAATTGAGAATAAGATCACTGATTCAACCTTCAGATATTTGAAGAGTGCTTAATTAGCTTCCCCCTATCACCTCTTCTATAGGTTAAACTGATTCTGATTTCTTAACCATTCCTCTTTGTTTTCTTGGCTTGGCTTTCTATGTTTTAAATTTTAATCAAGTAAACAAGTTAAACAATTATTTCTAGCATTGTTCAGTTTTAATCACAATGTTGAGTACTTTGTAAATATTATATATTACTTAGATAAAATTAACTTTCATTAAAAATAACAATTGTTTTATTTTATAGTAATAACATATCTCATTATTATTCTCCAAATGCTCTTCACTTACTTGACAATACTTTCTGGGACATTTACATATTCCATTGGAATTAGTTCATTAAGGTCTGCCAAAGTGTTGACATATTGTATCTTATTACTGAATTTTGAACTGAAAAAACAAAAGGCACAATTCACTGGTTAAGCAATATGGATAAAATAAAATATAAAATTCAGCTCTATGTTAATTAATAAGCTGCTAAATTGCAGGCTAGTGTAGGAATGATGTTTAGTGACCTTTCAAAGTTACTGAAAG